TTAGTTTCGGGCTATTTTAGCCATAACAAACAAAACATTACATTCAACCCATAATTATTACACTCTTCTCTCACAAAAAAAGTCAAAAAAGCCAAAAAATCAAAAAGCTCTTCCCAAACCAAGCTTTTTAGCCCAGGCTAAAATAACCAAAAAAGCGAAAAAGTCAAAAAGCCAACCCACTTCCCAAACGGAGGCTTAGTCAACTCACCACCATCATCAAGGGAGAAATAAACATAATGGTGAGAACATCCATGATGAGCAACGAATTCGTAATGGGATTTAGCATTGACACCTCACCACAGCAAATATTTGCAATTTCTGATACAGGCAGTAGTCTAATATGGATGCAATGTTCGCCTTGTGATATGTGCTACAATCAGAATCGATTCGCGCCAATTTATAACCGAGAAAAATCATCAATGGTGATTGTGGAAATTGATGGTTTAAGAGATTTAGAGTTAGGTTTTTGAGAAAGGGATATTTTGGTAATTTAATTTTAGGACAAAAATGTAATAAAAAAAATCATTAAGTGTGTGGAAAGAGAAGAAGTAATATGTGGAAATAGAATTTCCCATGTGTGAGGTCTCTATCACAATTTTTTTATTATTAAATTTTTTTAATATTTTAATTAATTTTTTTAATTTTTATACTTAATATAAATATATTTAAAAAGGGAAATTTATAATAATTGTAAAAATAATCTTTAAAAAAATTATTAAATACCAAAAATAAATAAAAAAACAAGAATTCAGTATATTTTTGTATTATTGTGTATTTATTAAATTTTTAAAATATTTTTTTATAAATATTTTACTTTTAAATATATCTAAATAAGGTACATTTAAAAAAGTAAAAAAAATATTTAAAATTTTAAAATATTCACTACAAGCAAAAAATATAAAAAATAAAAAACTTAATTTTTAAAAAATTTCAAAAAAATTAAAACCAAACGCAATGAAAAGTATTCTGTCAAGTGAGGTTAGTATCTCACAGGCAAATATGATTTGAGGAACTTTCCTGGGAAACACTATGGTAATTAAAGAAAAAACAAATGACATAAATTCGTATTTTTTGAATTATAACTAAAAAATAAAATAAAAAAATATCATAACCAAATACAACATGAAACATAACTACAGAATTTAAGAATCATAAATAAAATAATGTCATGACTAAATAACAAAATTGATCATAACTAGAAAACATTGCATATATTGCACCCCTGTCAAGGGTGTGTATATTAGAATTTCGAAAAATACTGTGGTGCACCATGTATACCTTATTGGCATGTTTGATTGGGTGGATTAGAGTATGGGATTAAGATTATTAATCTGTGAACCCAATTATCCTATGTTTGTTTTAACATTTTTGTTTTGGATTATTAATCCAATGGATAATTAATCCAACAAATTTGTAGGATTATTAGTAATGGGATAGGGGTGGGATTATTAATCCAATGGATATTAATCCAATTGGATAGTGAATACCACAGTAATTTAATAGGCTTATAAATACTTCACTATTAATCTTGTGAATCAAACATGACCTATAAGTATAAAAAAAGGCAGTGGCTTTGGTCCAGTCCAAGATCGGACTGGACCGTACTGTTGGGCCCGTGGAGGCCCACCACGAGTCCCGTTTTGATAATCCGAACCGTTCAATGTGTAGAACTCGTCGAGTACTATACGCCTGTAAAAAATCATGTTGATCGGATATCAATAGCTTATAAACAAAACAGTTTTTTATCAACCGTTAATTGTTTCACCGTCCATTTTTTTATACAAAACTGTTTTGATCACATAGCTATTGATATCCGATCAACGTGATTTTTTACAGTCATATAGTACTCGGCGAGTTCTACACATTGAACGGTTCGGATTATCAAAACGGGCCCCAAAAATGAGCTCCATGGGCCAAACTGGACGGGTCCAGTCTTGATCTCAACTTGAGACAAGCTTGACCCTAAAAAAAAATTGCACAACTTCAATTTCTTGAGTCATAACTATAAAAAATAAAAATAAATAAAAACATGTCATAACTAAATACAATATGAAATATAATTAAAGAACTCATGAGTCATAACTAAAATAATGTCATAATTAAAAAAAAAATGAAATAATTAGAATGCATATGGTACAACATTGTTAAAGGGGTGTATATTAGAATTTTCCTAGATTTTCCCCACTAGAATAATGTTATGTTATACAAATAATGTTTAGGAAATGATGAAAATATATTTTTTACAAATTTAATCTGTAAACTAATTTTTAAACTTATTTAAAATTAAGGGTAAAATACAAATAACCCTTGAGATTTGTTTACAATATAGATTGTTTCCTGTGGTTCTAAAAATTACAAATACCTTCTTATTAAAAAAAATTATTTAACATAATTAATAAAAAAAATTAATACAAATAACCCTTGAGATTTGTTTACAATATAGATTGTTTCCTGTGGTTCTAAAAATTACAAATACCTTCTTATTAAAAAAAAATTATTTAACATAATTAATAAAAAAATTCCCTAACTACTCTTTTATACAACAATAAAATTACTTAATTTATTATTTGAAATATATTTCTGACATCATTAAAAATTGTTAATTGAATTGATGATTTTCAAAATATAATAGGTGAAATATAATTTTCAAAATCACAAAATACAATTTGTATTTTAAGTAAACTTATATTTATAATTTACCTTTAAATAAATAATACATATTTAAAGTAATTATAGTTGAAAAATCCAGACAAACCTTGCGCGGTCCCGTGCATTTCTATATACCAGAGAAAAAAAAAATGCTCATGAAATACACGGGGCACTATTGTAATAAATTTACGTTTTACAAACATAATAATTTTTGTAGCAAATTTAAATTTCACAACTACAATATTTTTAGTTTTACTGAAGATAGTATTTAGTTTATTACAAAATAGATAATATCATTTCATAAAACATAAATTCTAAATTTTTTAATTTGTCAATTTAAACTCTTTTTTTTTTCAATACGAACCATATATCTATTTTTATTCAGTAAAATGGACCCAAAAAAATATTTCAATTTTTTTTTTTTTTTTTTGCAGCTACATTATTAAATTATTAAAATTTGACTTTATTTACAATTTTTAAATTTTTTTTTTTTATAGAAAGCATTAATACCATCCAAACAAATAATTTATATAATGTAAGAGAAATGTCACTATAGTAATCCTTACAATTTATGAATAAAAATAAAAAGAAAAAAAAGTAAGATTTTATGTTATTTGTATATATAATATATATTCAATATGATTTAATAATATAAATTACTTTAATATCATGTAATGGCTAATAATTTATATGTATATTAATATTTTTATATATCTATATATGTATAATTCGGACTTCAGGTTGCTCGAGTTGTTTAACGTCTTTGCCCAAGTCCGCCCAAATTTAATTCGAGCTTCTGAATTTTTGCCCAAGCTCATACCGAATTTAAAAATATTTTGTCCAAGCCCTAAAAAAATTCAGGTTGGGCTCGAGTCCAAATTTAATTCGAGCTTCTGAATTTTTGCCCAAGCTCATATCGAATTTAAAAATATTTTGTCCAAACCCTAAAAAAATTCAAGTTGGACTCGAGTTACTTGGATTGAACCCGCTCAAATTACACCCCTAACATAAATGAATTTTTCAATGTATATATATATATATTTTAAACTATCAGATAAGAAAATTGTTCAACGGCCATTTAGAGAAGGTGATTGATGATATTAATGTTAAAAATCTATATCTAATCAATATTAGTGAGACACAAAAACAAAGAATAATAAATAAACAAGGATTATAAATCACAAAAAAATAATAATAATAATAATACTACATGCATTAATTAGTATACTAACTAGAGTACCAACACTAATTATGTCATGATTATTGATCTCACTCATTATACAAATTATAAATACCAAAAACCTCTTAAATTATATCTCATCATCAATTTATACACTGATTAGTACACTAATTGATGCATATAATATTATTCCAAAAAAAATACAAGATTTGTGTAACCTCAAAAAAGCTATTCCCTTCAACTATATACATAAAATTAAGAGAACAATCAATTACCAACATGTATAAATATCAAAAATTATCTTTTAAGGCCTCATAAAAAAACAGTCTGCTTTAATAACTTTTTAACGAAATATAAGATTTAATTAAATTATATCTCATCATCAATTCATACACTAATTAGTACACTAATTGATGCATATAATATTATTCCAAAAAAAATACAAGATTTGTGTAATCTCAAAAACAGCTTATGTCATTATTATTGATCTCACTCATTATACAAATTATAAATACCAAAAACCTCTTAAATTATATCTCATCATCAATTCATACACTAATTAGTACACTAATTGATGCATATAATATTATTCCAAAAAAAATACAAGATTTGTGTAATCTCAAAAACAGCTATTCCCTTCAACTATATACATAAAATTAAGACAACAATCAATTACCAACATGTATAAATATCAAAAATTATCTTTTAAGGCCTCATAAAAAAACAGACTGCTTTAATAACTTTTTAACTAAATATAAGATTAAAAAAATTAATATATTTCAAATTACTTTCTAATTTTCTATGAAAAGATGTACAAAAAATATTTTAAAAAATAAAATCTTTAATTTTTTAATATAAGTTATAAACTTTTTAATTTTTTTTATTAACTTTTAAATTAAAACTGTTATATGTCAAACGCGGCCTGATACTAATCAAGATCTTCATTACCCAAGAATTAAAGCCCTGAACCATTTTCAGAATTGGCACAAACTATTTATCTCGTATGCCAGCTCAACCTCAAGAGGCTAAAAACCTTCAACACGTAAATGGGAATGTCAAATAAATTTCCAAGCCCAAGAATAGAAAACAAAAGAAAAGAAAACTATGAATGAACTAAAAATGAATGTTATTCTCATTTAAATTGAAAATAAAATTCATCTACACTTTGTACTAAAACCGCATCACAGCCAACAAGATGAATTAATAAGGCCAACTCAAGTCAACACAAAAGAGCAACATAGGGGGAATAAAGAGAGAAAAAAAGAAAAGGTCAATGAATAAAATTAAAATGATGGTCCATTTTAAATTGCAAATTAAAACTATTTACAGGATTTTTTTTTTTTTGGGGGGGAAAGGGGGGGGGGGGGGGGCGAAGAAATGCGACAGAGAGCTTAACACTATATGCTATATAATCTTTTGTACCTATTTCCTCTTCTTTTTTTTTTTATTGAATTGGTGACAGAAATGCATAACTACATGAACCATAATTCCTCCAAAGCTCCTGTGGCACCGGCAATTATTCCATTTCCAGCACCTCATTTCAAAAGCATCTGACCCCGGGCTACTGAAAAAAACATCAAAATCACAGCATCATGAATGAATATTGTTTTCCATTAATTAAAACGAAATGGGTTCTCAAAAATATATTAAGATTTTAAACTTAATGCACAACATATTGGGATAAAATAAATAAAAAGAATAGTGTGCACATGAACGAAAAGTTCTAGAACACGCGTCATTCTCATATTCATAAAGAAAATAACCTTTTGGTATTTCTGAAAAAGCGAATTGTTTTTAGAAAATTTTCCACAAACTAGTTTGTCAAACCAGATTTTTGTGTTTTTCCAATAGATGAAAACATGAGATAGAAAACAAAAGCAATACCATATAGGCCTACTTTTTTATGGAATCAGAATATCAATAATACGCAAGCCAGCTTCAAAATGCAAGGATATACCATATCTACTCTCAAGCTGTCGCAGAAAAGCACATTATGAACCAGAAAGCATTCTGTGAAACCGTTCTACTCTGGATAGACAACCGTTTGAAGACAATGCAAAACCGTTTGAAGACGATGCAAAACCGTTGCACGAAGTACCATTACTCAAAGTTCTTCTTTTTCTTCTTGTCCGGAACAAGAAGTCTTCTGTGTCTAAAACATATGAGACCTACCACATACCAATACACTCATATTTAGCATAAAAAGTAATGACTTGAGTATGGGATGAAATAAATGTAAAATTATATTTCATCTATCATTCATAAAGCACACCTTCGATGAATTGCAAGCTATCTTGCACTCAAGACCATTCACAACTCGGAGTTCCTCTAGGGTTTGGAATGCAACAGAAAATTCATCTCCAGATTCATATTTGCGTTTATTTCTGCAAATACAATCAGGAATTCACCAACCAAAATTAGAAAAGCACCACAAAAACCCAAGAAAAAAAACCACAAATAGTAAAGTAGCACAAATACCTTTCTCCATTCCATACATAGGCTGTAAGAAAAACCGATGGAACTGAACCGACAGCTCAAGACCAACTGAAATTTTGAATTTTTGAATTTTTGAATTTTTTTTTTTCCCCCCTCATATTGTATGGTCTGATAGGTTTTGAAAATTTTTACACCAATACAATTGAAATATTATATTTGAGTGCTTTTGTATTTTAATTTTTTGAGTATTAGAATCAATGTGTTTTGTAATAAAAATTGAGGGAGGCATTTATAAAACAACTTTCACCATTTTTCTTTGTTTATTCCCAATGTGGGATTCCACAAGTTTTAATAAAATTCCTTCAAAACTTCAAGTGAATCCCCGCTACACCAAACTGACAAAACCCATAAAACCGCACTGCAACATGCGGTTTATTTCGGTTCCTCAATCAACGTTGGGTTTGGTGCTAAACTCTCTCTCAACACAGACTGAACTGAACCACTTACACCCCTAATACATACCTTCTCAAGAAAATCCCGGACTTCTCCTTTTTGTCAGGAACAAGTGTCAGTAAGTCATTATACAGATAACCCGCAAAATTAGGGTCCATCGAAACTGCAGTTACTTCAGGCTTATCATGACCATATTCCATAAGCTGTATTGACAAACGAGTTGGCCCAGATGACTGCAGCAAATTCAAACCGATTTATATATCAGGGCTTTAAAAACTAACAATGTATATCACCATAAATAAATTCCAGCCAATGAAAAAGGAATGCAATAGTACCAAAGACTTACACATTCAATCCGATATATGTTCTCATCATGAAGAAGAACACGGGCATTTTCATGATAAACTACATCAACAAATCTTCCAGGTTTTCTTGAATTTTCATATGCATATAGTTGGAGAAGTTTGTTGTCCATCTCTTCACTTGCAACCGTTTGAAGCTTATGGGAGATTCCACGAAAAATAACTTTCAGGTCAAAAAAGAATACACCAAAAACACATTAAGAAAATGGATTATGTTAGTAGTACCTGTTTGGCAAGTTTATATATCAGCTTGTCTAAGGTGAAGAGGACATAAGACTGAGTTCCAATAATAGCTCGACAATCATCCTCAAATTTTGTATTATCAGAGGAACCGTCAAGTAAATTGTAAAGTGCACTGATAAATCTGCAAATTAATAACATTATTCATGTGAATGTCGTTGAAATCAAGTCGAAACTAGGAAGCCACATAGACTAATCAGAGGAACTTGGAATGTCAACCCACCTCGCATACAGATCCGTCGGATTTGCATCAGTTGAACCCCTCCACTTCCTTTCAGCAGATGAAGAATTGATCTTCGCTGATTGTATTCTCTCATACAGTGTCTGAAAAGTTTAAGGGGAAAAGAAAAAAAACAAAAAGAATGAGGAACGAGCATGTAGAAGAACACCATGTAGATCAACCACATGATAAAACATTTCAGAACAAAGGCTTACTTGATGAAGCCTAAAAAGCACATAGAAGGAATCATTTCCATAAAAAACACGGGAATCCTTCTCTTTGTCATGTAATCCCAGAGGAACACGCTTCGTAAGAGGCTTCACAGTTTGTAGAAACCGCTCTGAGAATGGCAACAATGTGCCATCCCCTTCGACATCATGGGCATCAGCCATCCCCTCAGCCTCACCTTCACTTTCAGCCTTGTTATCATTCTCATCATGGTCTCCATCTTCTTCATGCTCCTCACGGAAGCAATCTTCACCGTCAGCAGACTCACTTGCTGACACACCACCATTCTCAGAAGCATTCTCACTTTCCTCTGATGACCTCTGAGCACTTTCCTCACCTTCATCATCAGCATCAGCATCATTTTGTCCTCTTTGCCCAGTTTGTAAATGCCCTCCTGCAGCATTATCCTTGGATTTACATGCAGCCTCCACCTCAGCATCTCCATATGCTGCAAAATTATCCTCAAAATCTCCATTTGGAGATAATTCACCCTCCTCTCTTTCAATTTTGAAGTGCCCAATCACCTCATTTGAAGATGAAACTGGCCTTGTACAACCACCCTGTTGCATCAAAGATGATCAAAGATCTTACATTAACAAACAATAAATCAATATTAAAGATCAAGACCATCAATATCCCAATCACAATATTGTCATTCATAAGCAATCCAGCTTGTATTAATAGGCCAAGAGAGTGTCCTACTGTTAGGACTTGATGGAAACTTGCGGATTAATAACATTTCAACAATCTTAAGTTATAAAGTCAGTGTTTCGGTGAAAGAAATATCTAACTTTCTGGCTTAATACCTATTCAGTTGAAACTAGAAAGATCAAGGCAATATCATGTGATTAATGAGTGATCACAAAAGATATATGTGTGTGTGTGTGTGTGTGTGTGTGTGTGTGTAGAATTAGTTGCAGAGTTAGAAACTACTCAATTGGTGTGTAAAAAAGAAGTGATGGGGAAGGGTAGTTTAGGGATTCAAATATTTTCTAGGCTTCAGGCCAGAGGGTCATTCACCAATATTTTTTTTTTAATAAGAAAAATTCAGCCTAGAGACTGTAAACTTGATTTCACAATCTCCCTCTTTTTTCAGTGTTAAAATTACATTAATATATATATATATATACCAAATGACAAATAGCGAAACTTAACTTACACCAACCCTCGGAAATCCTTAAATATAATCCGATGCCAGTTCCTGAAAATTTAAGCCTTAGTTATTTTATCTGTAACCCTACCTTGATATCTTCCAACTGCATTTGTTTGCCCTATTTGATGTAATTAAGTACTTCATTGAAATAGGTAGGAAAGAAAGACATCAAAGTAAAATACAAGTAGCCAAAACCAACAGCGCTCGACCGATTAGAGTTACCCTACTCAATAACCAAAGAATGCCAATTTCATGAAATTATTGCTAGAAACTATACTCATCCATACCTCCAATGAAGGTAAAATTTCATCAATTGGACCCATTTCAGCCACACCCTCAACAGTAGCATTGCCATGTCTCGTAGGAGTAGCACCAAGCCCTAGCAATAAAAAGTGCATCTCAGCATCCCAGCCGTCAATGTGAGAAAAATGAAACCAAAAGACTGACTGGAAGTAGTCCAGAGAACAGAAGGAATGGGATAAACAGCTTATACAACATTCAAGACTATTATGCAAACCTGATGTGTTTTCTGTGTTCGCCCTGCCATGATAGTCATCTTCTCCAGCAGCTGGGGATGCCTTTGAGTTGGCTAACGGCTCACTGGAATTAACTTGTACCCCAGATGTTTCATCAGCCACAGTAGCAGTACTCTGAACCTTTCCAAGTCGAGGGATGTTGCATAAAACATCACTTTTACGTGCATTATGATCTACATCCTGAAGACCATCTTCCTTCATCCCATTACCACCAGTTACCAACCCAGCTTGACAGGAACTTAATTGCTCAGGTGGATTACTTTCATCTCCATTTTTGGAAGGATTTGAATCCTTGGTAGTAATGACAGTTGCACCACCAACTGGACTGCCATTACTTTCTCCAACACTAGCTGCACCACTCTGTGAAATTTGATTTTTAGCCTTTACAACATCTTCTGTGTCCTCTGCCCCCTGAGGCCGACAAGGAACCCCAATAATCGGTTCCAGGAAGGTTGTCCAAATCTTCATAACTTTATCCAGCTGTTCACTTGTACAAATTTCACCACAGGAATATTTGATGAGCTGGTAAAGGTCTTCATGGATGTCTGAATCAGGATATTCAAATTCCATATGTGGAATAATCGGTCGTTTATTTGCAGCAGCAATAGCAAGCAACACATCATCCTCCTTGCACTTCTGTTCACTGATTTCTTTGATCTCGACCGATAACGCTGTAAAAAGATATTAAAACATGAAATGTAATCCATCATAACTGAGCAAAATATGGGCGATTTCATGTCATATGGTAATTGAAGGACTCCCTTATGTTGAACATGATATTAGAAAGTAGTCAACTTCAATTTATATATATATATATATGGTATTTATAAGTATCAATATCAATTTGGCTTCATAAAGCAGGTCCAAAATAAGACATTTAAAAGGTTTTGTTTAGATGGCCTGAATTTTCATACTATATTGGTGGTTGTTTTGATGGCATGTGTGAGATTACAAAGATCTGTTTAACACAATGGACTGAATCTATATCCATAGATGTCCAAATATTTCCACAATGAACAAAATTACAGATGAATGTGCACATAACAATATACAAATTCCTCTTGCATCTACAAGAAAGTCACATCAGATGCCAGCTCAATTGAGTCTCAAAGGATTGTTATTTATTTTTAAAAAAACATCTTTCTTCAAAGAATGAGGAAGAGAGCTTTCTTCACTTCTTGAATTCTTTACTAAAAATAGAACTATGATAAGTGTTATCATGAATATCAAAATGGGTAGCGAGATATGGAACCACTTGAGAGAGAAGCATAACTCTTTTCCATAAATGCTGAGGCCTTAAATTATGAAGGTCAGATATCAATGATGTCCTAATTTCAGGTTTTTACATGTTGGGTCTAACTGGATCTGATTGGATCCTATTAAAAATCCTTTGATCACCAAAATAATGACAAATCATGTATAGATATTGACTATTTTCATATTAAATATTCTTAAAAGTTGTACTATGTCATTTTCACTATAAAAAAACAAAAAACAAAGAGGTAAAAATGTCGGAATTTGTTGCACAATAGTTTCATGAATTGCATGAATCAGAAAAAGTAAATCAAGTCATGAATCGAATGTAAATCATGTGATTCATCATAGATTCCATCTCAAAATAAATTCACCCATTAATTCGTATCGATCTATGCATGAATTGCATATCGAATTGTGAATTGAAATCATAAAATTCTGATAACAAAGATTGTAAATATAATAGGGCTAACAACAGATCAGATCCAACTCTAAGATGATAAGAAAATAGCATGATCTGATCAGATCCAATCCGATTGAGTACGGATCACTTATCTGTTGATACAAATCCAAACATATTAGACAACAAATCTCCAATTTGTTAAATCCAATCTGATATGGAGTTACCAAAAATGCTCAAGGAAAAGCAATAAATCATATTAAATCTACTTACAAATTAAAGAAATCTAGTGATTGCCTTCTATTACAAACCTTCACTGCTTTTCTCTGAAGTGAGAACTAAAAATTTGCAAACAAATTGAAATTCTTCTAGGGTTCCTGGATCCATACCACCTGATAATTCTCTTCTAATATCGATAATCACACAGAATTGCTTTATGACAAAAGACGCAAATCAAGAACCCTAGAGTATACAACCACAGTTATCAAGAGAAACAAAAGAAAGAAAAATTAGAGAAGCATGGGAGAGGGGCACAAATCCTGAATCAATGAAGCCCCAGCCTTGTAACCAGAGCAGAGAGAGAAACGGCTGAATGGGGAAACCCTACTTTGTCTTCATTCTTATATCTAAATCAGCCACCGTTAGATCATTATGGATCCAACGGTGGATACAGGATTTATTAAAATTTGCTTTGTTGTTTAATACTGGCAACAGTACCTTCAATTCAAATCAGATTGATGCCAGATTGGATTGCACCTAATTTAAATTCAGCCCATTAAGCAATGGACCATCTGGATTTGGATCAAAATCAGACTAATAGAGCAGAATCCTATCACCATTTCAGCATTTGAATTATAAACTATGAAGTAAAGCTAATATTGTTGCACATTCCGATGGGCATTGGGAAATAGGAAAAGAAAAGGAGCTCAAATTTATACAAAAGCTTCAGGACTTGGCCTAAGCAATGGACATCTCATCCCGCTGCCATCGCGCTGATGGGCTGATCCAAGCATCAGCACAAAGATGCCACCCATCTCTATTACTGTTTCATTTTTATTTTCTATTTCACATGCATAATTTTATTGATAAATATAAAATATTACATGTCCATAACTTATTGTTCATTTTTAGACTTTTTTTCTTCTTTTACAAAAATGCTTCCCCAATCAATTTTACAAGTAAATTTTCAATTGATGGTTCAGTAAAATTGCAAAAGGCCTCATTTGCATTGCAACAAAGCACAAGCAAAGTATGGTTTAGTTCATAGAACAATGTACACTAGACATTCCAATATGATGTTGGAAGAATAAAAAATATTTAATTAATGGAAAACTAAATAATGATTTTGGAAGAATAAAAAATATTTAATTAATGGAAAATTAAATATTAAGTTCTTTTACAATTTTCAATGAAAAAAATTGCATAGTTATAAAAAAATTCAGCACAAAACATAGTTGTACAAGAACTATTAATCATCTCTTTTAGTTAAAATTATTAATAATTCTAACCCAACATAAATACCTATTTATATGTTATTTTCTGTTCGAAAAATTAACTTACAAGAGAATTTTCTCAATTAAAAAAATAGCGCTTTTTAAGAAAACAGAATTACTAATTATACACCATAGACAGTTGATTCCACAAAAGATTATTCTAATTAATAAAGATTATTTAGTTATAGGATTTTAATTATTATAAGGTAAAATTAATCATCATTCTCATTTACACAAATTATTTAGCTCTCAATTACCTTTTGTGCTCAAGCTCTTTGTGTCCTGCTGCTTGAAGTAAAAGCTACGATGATCAAGTGATTTGTGATAATTCTTGGCATAGATTTCAGCCCAAACTTTATTAAAATCAGAACGGCATTTGGCCCACTCCTCTTGTTTCTGCTTCAAGCGAGTCAATATAACTGGCAGCGCAAGAGGTGCATTCTTCCTCAATACATCCATCACATCAAGGCCATGGTCACCATATAAGCGTTCAATGCACCTTAGATTCAGAGCTACAACAAACAGAAAAGACAAAAGCATTCAAAATCACAGTGCAAAAGATACCCTGCAAACTCATTAGTCATTAATCAACCTTATCACCTGTAAAATGGTCCTCAATATGAATAGGACTATCTGTTTTAATTGTATTATCATTGATCTTGTCCAATAGTTCTTCTACGCGCTTTGTTGTCACATTAACAGATTCTAACAACATGTCCAGTTCAAACCTGGGAATCAAAATAACAATAGCATCAGCAGTTGTTCAAATCCATACAATTTGAAAGAAAATACTTCAAGCAATTGGCTGTGCAGCAAAGAAAAAATAAAGGAAAGGAGAATGGGTGCACAGAATCATGGAATTAAACTATGATCTTGCTAAAGAAAGAGAGATATTCCAGTAGCAAAACTTGATTTGAACAGTAATACAAAATGTTCCCAATTAAGTACGCAGATAATGAGCTAAATATGGAAACTAAAGCTGAAGCCTAAGGGAAAGAAACAGAAAATGAAACCAAGCGAAAAGAGCGAAATAAAAGGTTGTACTTCATTTCCAATGAAGATAAAAGATAATAATAAATAATATATGAAGGCCCCAGGCAGTTCCCAACCTGTCATCTTCACATCGAAACAAACTTTCTTCATACTGGTTTTTGCGCATGTGTTTAAAAGAGTAATCCTCACTTCCAGAAGTAACAGACACCCAATGATCATTCAATACTTCAGCCCCAATATCAGTTCTCTGGCTTGCTGAAGGGATTGGATACTGCATCAAGCAAACATCAAATACACATAAATACAGAACTTAGCAAAAGCACCCCCAAAGTTGGAAATTTTAATGAAAGAACTGCTTACATTCGCTGGCAGAAGTCGATAACTGGGAGTGCATCGCTCACAGTTAGAGAGATCAAGTTCTTGAATGGGTTTCAACATATACTTTTCCTTGGTTGGAAGTAGAGGCATCTTGTGGCTTGCTACATCTTTAATACCAGATCGATCCCTTTCTCTGTTTTCACGATCTCTATCTTTATCCCTATCATCCCTCTCATGATTCCGATCTCTATCCCTTTCCTCTAGTTTCAGTGGTCTGGATAATTTTCCTTCATTCCACAAGGATCCTGCAATGAATTAAAAAGCCCAATTAGACATTATTGCTCACAGCATTAACATATTTCCGTGCCTCCAAAATGATTCAAGTCTCACAAGTCACAACAATAATAAATTCACTTGGGATCTGGCAACTTCGTGACACAGATGCCAGAATACCTCATGTGATAATGAGCTAAGAGAGGCATCCAAGATAGAAATGCCACATCTAAAATTATAAATCGTTAAACTTACTTTTACTCATAGCACCGGCAACAGCAAGAAAACCATCTGCACGAAAAATCTTAATTATATACAATCCCAAGAATGCAAAATCCAGATCAGATAACTAGCAAGCAGGAAAACAATATAATTAAATAAATAAAAATTGATAAGCTGCAGACAACCATTACCGATCTTTTCACAGCGTGCCAAAAATTCACTGAACCCCTCCATTAGGTCTGCATATCTCCCAAGTAAATCACCAACCTGGCACAACCAAAAGATTCCACAAAATTATGGTGAGTAAATGTAAATAACAACTCTATAAGCTATGTTACATGGCCTCTTTAATATAAATCAAATACCCGTGTCGGACACTTGATACTTGGACAAGTGTGGGGAAATGTGTCCAATATTTTGCATAAGATACTTCTTATATATTTGTATTTAACACTATCATTATATGTATATTTTTGTTGTATAATTGCTACAAAATAAGTAAAATACCTTTTTGCCAATAAATGACACATATAACACAATTTTATCTCACAATATATTAAAATTATACAAGTATAACTATTTTTTGCCGAGTTTGCTACGCTTAAATTTGAGGTTTGATAGGAAAAAAAGGGATGTGCTCCCTCCAAGGTTTAGGGATCGAAACCTCTTAAGTGGTAACAATTCCTTGGAGCCATCAAACTGACAGTAAACCCTTGAATTAAAAGTGATGCACTTGCGAAAAACTCCTTACCGAGGGCCTTGGCATCCTTGGGAATTAGTCGGACTTTGATCTAGACAATCCAGTGCCAATCAAAAAAAAAAAATTTGAGGTTTGATGGATCTGAACTCTAGATAAACACCTGTACACAAGGTTTCAAATAATGGTGGCAGTTACTGTAACGGTAACAGTAGCGTTGACACGATTGCGGGGTATAATGCCCGTAGCATAATGGTGGCGACAATCAAAACCATGAATTTTTTAATTCTTTGCACAACTTTATGAAAACATACCGATACGCATGCTTTTATTTCATAATCACAATTAGTGAGATTCAAAATGATTTTTAGTATTTTTATTTTTAGTTTTAAAACATGATCCAAATTCCAATATATAATTCTAATTTTTATATTTGTTTTAAGTCGTTGTAGAGAATTTTCCTATTGTTAGATTTATTTAATTTTCTTTACTTTACTAATTACACCTATGCTACGGATGGAAAACTTCCAATTTGTTAAGAAAAAAATGAAGTATGTTTAATATTAAAAATAATAGTCTCATAAACATAAGTTCAAAATACAAAATGTCAACCTATAACAATGTAAAAGTACATAATATGAAACCTAAATTTTGTTAATTTAATATAAGAGAAATTGATATAAGTTAATATTCAAATATAATTAAGCAAAAAAGTATTGCAATCTTGAAAAACTTGAAGATTGGACATTCAAAACATGTATAGATAAAATTTTTACTTAAAGTTTTTATGTAACTAGAAAATAAAAAGAAAGAACAGTAATATAGACAAAATTTAATAATATTTTTTAAAATAGAAGCGCAGCGACCATAACAGTGCTGTAACATCAACGAAACGGCCGTTACGGCTATTACGGTTGTGAATTTCTATCACACCGCTATAACGGCCGTAACGGATGGTGGTAACCATCACAACCGTTACATAATGGCATCACGTAATGATTGCGGCCACTTTTTAAAACCTTACCCCGCCCAACATCTGTACCCGAGTCCACGTAACACTGTTTATAAGTATTCCAATTGCACGAGTAAATCATGGTTAACCACTTCTTTCAAAACCTTTACTGGCACTACACATAAGGCATAGAGCCAAAAAGAGAAGAGAGTGGGTGGAGGAGAACACTATAAGATTCATGTGGCAACGTTTCAGTGGTCAGCCCCACTAACAGTGAGCTGTCTCATGATTATGTGGCTCTATTTAATATATAAAAAGATTCTTTCTGAACTAACAAAACACATTGTATATAAATAGAAATATATATACAAATATTTTTCTCTTCAAGTATGCAACAATGTATTTAATATATAAAAAGATTCTTTCTGAACTAACAAAACACGTTGTATATAAATAGAAATATATATACAAATATTTTTCTCTTCAAGTATGCAACAATCAATGAGGACATGTCATTTCTGATATTCCAGACAATAGTTACAACTCCGACAACGTTAATTCAAAATACTAGCATGAGGTTTGTGCATTGTGTGGGATCTAAAATTGCATTATTATATTCAAATTTTAAATTAATGAAAAATGTTATACATTACTTTTTTTGTCACTGGCTTATATCATAATAGCTTAGTTGGATGCTCATGATAAGTTCCTTATTTGGAAAAGATTGGTCAGAAAAATAGATTAAAGAAATCTATATCTTGCCTTATATGCAGTGACATAAAAATGGTGGGGAAAAAACGTTGAAAAATAGTATCTGAAGGCTTCCATGAAAAGTTTAAATAATGTTGACATGGAGGCCTCCATCATTATCATATAAACATAATTGAATTGTCAATTAATATTAGGGTTGTTTTGGGAAGTTGGTAAAAAGCTGGCTTTTGGCTTTTTACCAATTTTTTTAGCTTTTTTAGAAGTGATTTGGGAAGTTAGTAAAAAGCTGGCTTTTTTGATTTTTGATTTAATATTTTTTAAAAGTGTCACATCACTCTAAAATGACCAAAATATCCTTACTTTTTGATTTTTAAATTAATTAATTAAAATATTCTAAATGGTAGTTTGGTAAATTGGGTGCTGCGTTTTTGGTTGTTCCCAAATGCATCTGTAGGCGTTTTCAGCAGCTTCACGTTTTCCTTTGCAAGCCAAAAACGTGGCGTTTTTGGCAAGTTCCCAAAATGGCACTAAGAATAAAGTTAGCATTATGAACAGTATCATTGCACATGAGGAGCCATGAAGTTAATATCAAGTGGAAGAATGTAAGGAATAGTTGGAAGAGTTTCCTTTCTACACTGGGCAACAGATTAATCTGTTCTTAGCAGTCACTAATACTATTAAGAGCATCAGAAAAACAAAAGAGGTACATCAAAATCAATTTCTATATCCATGTTATGCAGTCATCAATTACTATCAAGGCCAACAATGGGAAGAAAAAAAAAATTGCTCTTAGACAATGATATGATAGTATTATCTGATCTTATCTTATAAATAAACAAACGTCACAAATTAAGAAAAAAATGTGATAGTTGACATAATAGTTACCATCATACAAGACAAAGTAGAAATAAAACTATAAAACAGATGTTATTCTATCTAGAGTAATATCCAGTACCAAGGAACACCAAAGCAGCAAGACTAGAAAATTATCAGGAGTCAAATCAATATCATATGAGGACATTATGCAAAAGCGCATCATGTTTGTGACAAGAAAGACTTGAATACAGAGGCAAATTTATCTTGGACCATAGTCCAGGTGGTAAAGAGGTAGGGTGAGTTGAGATAGGACATTACTCGATTTTGGTCCTTGTAAACTGAGGGTAGAGTAAGATTAAAGGTGTACCTAACCTTTAATATTATTCGCACAAAGTAGCTATTCTTAACCTCAAACTCGAGTCTCACTTTGCATTACACAATTTTAGTAGTCCACTAGTACAACAGTCAGATATCAAAAAATACATCATTTGAAAATCTGAATTATTTAAAGATGTTAATTTATTTTTAGGAAAATTACAACCGAAAAAAAAACTCAAGGTTTGACCTCAATAACAAATAAAACCCCACATTTTTAATTGCATCAATTTAAATCCTGATTTTTTAAAATAGATTCAATACCAACCATCCGTTCATTGATGGTTAAATAAAATGGAGATTTTTTTTTGCAACACATGTCATTTTATCTTTCACTCTTTGAAGTTAATATCAATTTTGGCCTTACCACACCATATTCCAAACAATCTAATCAATCATCTTAACCGCTCATTTAAATCCTACAATGCGCCCACTATTGGATTATCCCTCTCTTCCCTTCCCCATCTCCACAGCAACTGTTCAGCCTCTTCCTTCCCATCCCTTTAGCCACCGAAGACCCACATTCACTCCCACTTCCTTATCTTCCTCCACAGCCTACTGTCACTTCCCAATTTCCTTCCCTCACTGCTACCTTCCTCTCCCTCTGCTACCCACCTTTCCCCTTCCGCCATAGTCGTCTTCTTTGTAGCCACCGGACACCCAGTCCATCCTATACCCCCACCACCACCTCCAATTTCCATTTCCCCACAACCCACTGCCACGGTGCTCTCCCCCTTCCGAATTTTGTCCCCAAATCAGCCTAAAAAAACAAAAAAAAACCCCATAATCTCCTCTGATAAAGAATTATTAGATCTGAACCAAAACAAAGAAAACCAACAAAATTTTAGAAATATTGAGAACCTATCTGCACAACGTGACAACAAAGGTAGAATGGGAGGGAGTGTGACATCAATGAGAAACCAATGAGACTGAACTTGACATAGAAGAGCACTGTCTACTTTGTTAGTACAACAAGCAAAGTCCGCTATGGAGGTTTGATTGCATCTGGGCTATGCTATTTTGATTGTATTTGGATAATGAAACCACATACTGTTGGTGGTTTCAATTGAAAGGTTTGCTGCCAAGTGTTTGAATGTGTTTAGAACAATCCTATTTTTCAATTGAATATTGTCTGTATGCCCATTTGTTTGTTTGCAAAGGGGGTGAGTTATTGCAGTGATTGGGTTGGGGATGGTGACTGAGGAGCAATGCATCAGGCCTTGGCATGGGGGAGGGCAACAGTGGGTGGATTGCGGTGATGAAGGCGAAGCAGGGTGGGGATAATGGTGGACTAAGAAGCATGGACACGGACTCGCAACGCAACACGACAGAGATACAACACGGACACGCTGATACGCTAATTTTCAAAAAATGCAGGACACGGCACGTGGGGGACATGTATGAAATATATAATTTTATATATTTATTATGGGTTATATATATGAATATATCATTGAAAGATAATAAAAAATACAATATGACACTATTTCTCATAATTTTATATAGTTTTTGTTTTATTATTATATCTTAAGTTGTTTTGTTCAAACTTATGATTAGTTTCACATGTGTCTAATTGATAGACATGTGTATTTAAGCGATACACGTGTGTCCTCCAAGTGTCCAAAGAATGTTCAGATCTTTAAAAAATAGGACACATTTTGAAGAGTGTCGGACACGTGTCGGGGAAGTGTCCAAAGAGTGTCGCTATCCGACACAGACACAACACAGATACATCACCTTCTCTTCTTAGAAGTGTCCGTGCTTCTTAGATGGTGGAGGGGGGAAATGACAGGAAGGGAGAAGACAATTGAGGAAAATGGTTAAATTGACAAAATTAACCCTCTCAATTAGTGTTTTAAATGGAGATGCATGGATGCTTAGGATTGTATCTAACTTTAAATTGTAGGGTTTAAATTGATACAATTGATGGTTTTATTTGTTATTGGGGTCAAACCTTAGGGTTTTTTTTATTTTTTTTGTAATTTCCCCTAGTATGTAAACATCATATCTCTCCAACAAACTCTATGTATGGTTAAGTACAGGAATGAAAGGTGCTGAGAGAATCATTACAAGTTCTATAATCGGATATACTTATAGCCCAAATGAAAAGGGAATACACGAACATCAACAGGAATTAAAAGCATGGAAAAATATGGCATACCAGAGTTTGCAATTCTGATCGTGTAACTATTTCTTTGCTATAAATATCAAGGCAATTCAAAAATTCCTGGTAAACATCAGAATTACGTAACCTGTCCTTCACTTTCTCACAAAAGGCAAACTCTTGGCTGTATATACCTGCAATGACACCAACTGACTATCAATACAATTGGGGAAAAAAGGGATGATGATGGCTAAAAAGCTGATAACAAAGGAAACACATGTATAAAAAGAAGGCCAGGGCTGTACAAAATTGTAACTAGAAACAAAAATACAGTCTCAATCACTTCATTAATTAAAGATAATGAGCATGTCAAATGCCAGAAGCCGGTGGATATGCCAAAGCCACTGGGCATGAGAATTTTTACTCAAATGACAACTAAATCTCCATGTTATGAAATCTTGTTTATGATATTTATACTAGGTACATAAGCATACAAAATTTAAGGGAAAAAAAAGGTGGCCTCCAGTGATTTCAAAAGAAAGAAGCTTTAATTTTTAAACTTCTTTACAAATGTATATTTCCATAAAACCATATTTTATTCAAAGGGTATTTTCACATCTAAATCATCTCTCTCAGGTAGGAAATATAAATGACAAAACAATCTCACTACATGAAAACCTTCACCTATCAGAATAGCTTGAATAAATTTCCAATTGCTGAAAATTTTCAGAAGCTTGGAAGTTCAATCACCCAACTATACCTCAAAGAGGTGCCTTCATATGTAATCGTTAGGTAACATAAAAAAATGCAGCCGGCAGTACAGTTGAACATAATGACATCATGCAAAATAAACAAATCAATGGGGTCTGGGGAAGCAATGCCGCAGTTGATAATTTCAGAATACAAAACATTGAAAATAAACGGACACACGAACAAAACATATCCAACCATGATATGAAAAACATAGATCTTACGGCAGATAGAGTTTCAGGATTGAAAACAAAAACCTGCATTCATGGCTTAGTATGTCTCAACTAAAGCGAATTGATTTTTTTCTTTTATATACATTACGAAGAGGTTTTAATCTACTAAGACTATGTTTGGGAAAGCGAATAAATTGGCCAAAAAGCCATACAAAAATGTCAAAGATTCATTATCATTCTCTCTACTTTTTGCATGTCTTTCGGTAACAACCAAAAAGTCATTCCCAAACACTTTAATTTCACTACAAAAGCTACTTCCCAAATGAACCCTAAGTGAAGCCTAAGTTCAACAAACATTAAAACCTTTGAATTCACAAGCAGCACGATTACTCACTTTTCAAGGCAGTTTTATCATCAAAAAAGGAGGAACCAGGGTGCATTGCAAATTCAGCACCTTCCCCACCCTGGTGTAATTGGTCAGCAACAGAGTCTTCAATCGTACAAGCAGATTTCCGTTTATATGAGAGACGCTGCATTCCAGCATGCTCAAAGTCTCTATCATCCCGCTCCCGTTCCCTTCTCTCCTTTTCTTTTTCACCACGCCTTCGCTGCTCTTTGTCAGCTCTCAGCAGTGCTTTATCATGGTCTAGATCCGGCCGGTCAACACTAAGGTCACGGTCAACATGTGACACGATGGGCTTCTGGCAGAATTTTATAATGAGTAGGAAGTTAGATTGATCATAAAAAGATATCAGGATGAATAAAGATAAAATTAAGAATTAAAAATATTGGGGAAACTACCTTGTCAACATGCATATGCCTTATAGCGGGCAATGGCAAGCTCCTATCATCACGGCGGAAGATAGAATTCCTACCAGACGGAGCATAAGGAAGAGATGCTGCTGCTGAAGTATCAGGCAGAAAATTTGTGAACTCAACAAGCAGGTCATGGTGATCACTTAAAAGAGCAGAAACCTGAAAAGGGATGAAAATTAACAACAAAACTCAAAATAAAGGGAAACAATTCCTGTAGACCAGCGCCACAGGAGCTTAAAAAAAAAAGGGGGAGTGCCAAAGAGCATATAGAAGTTCATGACAAAAAAAAAAAAAAAAAACCAACAAACACACACCTCCTGGTAGACCTCCGTAATGGATTTGTTTTCCTTTCGATACATATTCAAAATATCAAGAAAAGCTTTATACACATGATCATCACTTTGAAACCTTGTCTGGAAGCAAAGCACAATTAGGGATGCAAACCCTTGAATGCAAAACTATAATACAACACTTAACTACAGAATATGCTGTTTTCACCTTAATTTTGTTAACAAAATTGATTGCTTCTTCAAATTCAACAGGCTTCTTAACTGGAGGAGGTTCAACCTCAGGTGGAAGGGTGATCTCATAGCCCTTTGGCAAAAATGCATTGAAACCCAAAATTAGGTCTCGATGCCCTTTAAATAAGTCTTTCACTCTCAAAATGACACCGGCTGTGTCAATTCTACAAACAAGTAAACAATGTAACATTGGGATCAATAAATGAGAACTTTATTTAGATTCTGGAAGTAAAAGAAGGAATAAATTACCAAACCTTTGAGCCTTGAAACCTTTCATAACTTCAAGAAACTCATCATATTTATCCCTTTTATCTTGAAATATGTCCTTAACTGCCTTCAGATATGCCAATGCATCATTGGTAGTTAGTTTCTGTGTGCTTGCTCCACCCATCATCTGGGATTGCCCAGAGCTTCATTACCCACACCCCAAAAATTAAAAAAAAAATCAATATACTAATTTAATCAGGTGAGAGCTTTCATTAAACATTAAACTTAGGTCAAAATATATTCTTTCAACAAAGGTGGGTCTTAATTCCTATTTTTAGCTTCAACCCTAGATATATAATCAAACTTCAGACAGATTTTATAAAGAAAAATTCAACAAAAATCTGATCTTTGTTCTCCTTGAAGGAACAACATACTGAGTAAAAGAATGAAAAACAAAAATACTGAAGTTTAAAATCCAAAGCCAAACAAAATACCTAATCAGTAAATAACTAACAGACTCGCACTCAACAATTTCAAACATGATTCACCAAATTTTCAGAAATTTTACCTGCTTATAATTTTTTATTAAATAAAGAAGCACTCATAATCACAGCTTACAATATCACAATATTAGAAAAATGAGAGTTAAAAAAAAACAAACTAAGAGAGAGATAGAGAAAGGACTCACGGTTCGGCGCGAGAGGAGACGATGGGGCGTTTGAGTTGAGAAGCCATGTACATATCATCTCTATCCCTCTTCATCTTCGTAATCAAAACTCTCAATCTTCAAAAACCATGCTTTGTCGAAACTTTAAATAAATAAAAAACAGTCCGATTAGAATCACAATCATAGCCCCCAAAAAAAAAAAATTAAAAATAGCAAAAATTACACACCAGATCTGGGAAAAAAACAAAAACACAACACAATAACCACAAATTTTAAACTCACAATCCAAAAACCTCTGAACACAACAGATCAACTTCGAAGCACAAATTACATTACTTGAAGATAAAGCAAAGCACACACAATATAATCACATATATATATTAACGATAATGATAATAACAACAATGGTTTAATCAGAGAAACGAAAATTACGAAGAGAACGCGGAAGATCTTCGAGTCAGAGACGAGCAACGCTTCCTTCGCACGATGAACACAGATGTGTTACAACAAATATGTATGAATATATATAAATATATGTATTGTGTATATATATGGTGTGTGTTAGAGAGAGAAAGAGAGGGAATATGATAATTAAAAACACACTACTCTTTCTCTCACAAAGAGAAACAGAGGAGACAATATGAGACAGAGAGAGAGAGAATTGAATAGAATGTGTGGAGTTGTATATGAGGATATAAAAAACACACTACTAGAGAACAGAGAAAGAAAATAAAGGACATATGGACAATTTCATTTTCTTTTTTGGAACTAAAATTTAAATTTAACCCTAAATTATTAAAAAAAATTATTCACATATTTATTGAAAGAATAAATTATATTTTGTCCTTTTTATATTTAATCACTTTTTTACTTTAGCTTTTAAATTTATTTTTTCTCACTTTAACCCTTTATGTTTCAAGTTTTTTTAGTTTATTCCTAAAGTTAATGACATATATAACATACATCTCCAATATAAATTTAAATTTTAATATAATAATATATTTTTTATATTATGTAATAGTTATTATGGTATTTTCTCTCTAATTTTAAACAAAAATTAGCTTTAAGGGTCAACTAAAAAAAAATTGAAACATAAAGGGCCACAATGAAAAAAATAAATAAATTTTAAGGGTCAAAGTAAAAAAGTGATCAAACATAAAAATTGCAAAATATAATTTACCCTTCTCGAAATCTTCCAAATGACATGGCAAATAAAATTTGAAAATTTGACTCACATTTAAATTTTTCTTTCAAAATTCTCTTTACATATATTTTGTCTTACCACCTCATTAAGGAGATTATAAAAAAATCAAATTATGTGTATATAACACTGTTGGAATTATTATTATTATTATTATTTTCAATTTTAAATTATCAATTTCATCTATTCGTCCTAAAACTTCTAATTTCAGTTGAGTAGTCCAATTAAAAACAATTCTAAATCAAAAAATATCATTTTAAAATTTGAATAATTTAATGATATACTTAAATTTTGAAATGATGTTATTATTAAGTAATCTAGATTATTTAGTAATGCAAATGAGGCCTTAGTAATCTAGATTTAGCTCTAAGCTTTACTAAAATAAATCTAGATTTATTAAAGCTTTACTAAATCTAAATCTAGAAAATAAATCTTGAAATCTAAATCTAGAAAATAAATCTTGAAATTATTACTAAGCTTAGTATAATAAATCTGATGTTATTCAGAAAATAGTAATAATAAATACTAAGCTCTAACTCACCGTTCTTAAAAGCTTAGTATTTATTATTTCTATTTTCTGTTTATATTTTTATTAGTCTAGAAATTATAAAATATTTTATTGAATTGATGGATTTGATATGTTTAAAATGATTAACAAATAACTAATTTAATATTTTTATATAAATGAGTGACTGTACAAAAAAAGGGCTTGAATTTGAGAGATCATAAATCGATTAAACCGAACTATTTCAATTTGTGTGATTTGATGCGATTTGATGGAAGAAGCGGTCTATGTCGGTACTTAAAATAATAAACCAACATTTATCAGTTTTGTGAAAATTTTTACCAATATACCGACTGTACTGAACCGATTGCATCCCTAGTTTTGAGTATGACTTATAAAGTGATTTTTTTGTTTTTATGAAAGAATGTACAACAACAAAAAAATATAAAAGTGATATGATCCAAATAAATAAATAAACCAAAAACAGCTTATTTAGTGGCTTCCCAAATAAGCACTATTTTTCATAATTGATGATTTGTAGAATGGTCTCCAATTGAGGTTAAATAGACAAAAATAACAAACAGTTACGAGCTGATTTTGTAGATTAGACTTATTTATCAAAATGTTTTATTTTAATTTTTAGTAGTAAATTTATTATTTCAAAACATTTTTTAAAAAATACAAATCAATTATTTACACTTTTGACATCATATTTCAGTACAAATTAACACAAATAAATTAAAATAAATAAGAACTCACAAACAAAACTAAAAATATTAAAATTATTTATCACTTTGATAAATTTACTAACATCATTACTAATATCAAATAGTCATTCCAAAAACACAAAATACATATAAAAATTCATTATAAAAAGTTTATTATCAAAACGAGGGGATAAATACGATAAAAAAAAATAATTAATGATAATTTAGAGAATAAAATTGAAGTTATTATTATTATGATTATTATTTAAATTTTAAGAAACCTGTGTTTCCGGTTATCGGAGGGAGATTTCACCGGTTATCAGCAGTCAACTGGGTGTGCGTAATTAGGGCATGGTTTGTTGAAGTAGCACGGTAAATAGTGTCCAGTGATGGAGGGTATAACTGTCCCTATCGCTAGTCTGATGATGTAAAATTCAAATTTGAGTATGTGGGTTGGGTTTGCAATTTTATGTAATGATTGTTGCTTTTGACAAAAATTAGGGTTTGGTTTTGGGCAACAAGTTCACAGATTTGGAGCAAATATTATGAGTGCGTGGGAAGTTATTATTTTAGTAGGTTATTGTAAATTTTTATTATTTTAGCAGGTTAAAATTTTTGTATTTGAAAAAATAGTTAGATTTTTTTGTTGTTAGATGTGATGTTTGTGAAATAAAAAAGTAAAATGATTATGGATTTAATGTGATATTTTGTCTTGTTAACTATTTTAGTCTATTTTTTCTTTTAATGCTATTTTAGCCAAAAAAATCAAAAAAGTTGCTTCCCAAACATTGTTTGGTTCTGATTTACAAAAAATCATTTAAAATTTTTTTTTTTTCGTATTTTAATGATTTTTTTAATATTTTAAGCAATTTTTTTTTAATTTTTAGATACACTTAACATAAATATACTTAAAAAGCATAATATTTGTGGGAAAAAATCTTTAAAAAATACACTAAATACCCCAAAATATGAAAAATCAATTTTTTTTTGTATTTTTGTGTATTTATTAATTTTTTGAAATATTTTTTTACAAATATTTTAATATTTAGATATATCTAAGCAATGTGCATCTAAAAAATTAAAAAAATTACTTATAATTTTAAAAATATTTATTAAAAACAAAAAATACAAAAAACAAAAAAACTTAATTTTTATAAAACTGAAACTAAATACACTAATTTTTTTTAGAGTTTAGGGTTGGTATTCCTTGAGTGGCTATTTTGTAAGCTCCGTTTGGACAGCTTTTTTATATATATATTTATTTATATATGGAAAAATTACAACCAAAAAAAAAAATCAAGGTTTGCCCTTTTTATTTTAGTTAAGTAAAATTAATAATAAAAAAAGCAGTATTTTAGCAATTACACTCAATTAGAAATGATATTTTTGATATTTTATTTACATTTATATTGAGTTTAATGGCTAAAATATTATTTTTTTCGTCAATTTTACATGGTAAAAATAGATAAATGGTTTAAACTGAATACAAATCGAAATATTAAAATTTAAATTGATAACTTAGGTTTTTTTTAACAAAAGTCAAACCCTGTAATTATTTTTTGTAATTTTCTCTTTATTTGTTTATCAAATTTTTTATTATTGTAGCTCGTTTGGTCGTATTTATAAGGGCATCTACAACAATGTATCAAATATTTCATCAAATCTGAGTACAAATTTGAGAAATTCCTCTATTTGATATTTAGCTCTCTAACAGTGAATTTTTGGTGTCAGCAAAACGCAAGTCGTCAGGGGGACAACCGACCGGCCATTCGGCCAATCGACCAGTAAGAGTAAACGCGAAAAACCTGTTTCCCTCTATTTTTCATCAATTCCTTTGCTATTCTTTTTCCCTCTATTAAATATTTTCCATTCATTTTTGCCTTCATTAATTATTTCTCTCAAAAATAGATATAAACAGATTAAACCATATACTATATAAACCCAGCAAACAACGTTGTATCTGGAACCAACCCTTAACTAAAAACCATAACATAATGAGTAGCACAATTTATTATTTGTTCACTGATTTTTCATCCTCTTCTTCTTCCTCATCCTTTAATAATGAAAAAATTGTTGCACTTCTGGGTCTTTATGAGATAAATAATGCTAGTATGATACAGATTTCTGAAAGCAAGTGATCAATCAAAGAAAAGAGGTGGTTCTGTTATAGAACATAAATACATACGTCGTGAAAAAAGGAAAGGTCATGATCGATTGTATGCAATTTATTTTGCAGCAAATCCAATTTATTCACCTGCAACATTTTTGAGACGTTTTAGAATGCATCGTCATCCGTATCTGTAAATTTTGTGAAATTGAAAAACAAATCAGCCTTATTTTATAGACCACAGCAACGGTAACTTTGTGAAATCCTCTGTAAAACCAACAGTAACCTTATTGGAGCTGTACCCTGCAAAATCAACGACTAATTTGAGTACAAATTTGAATCTACATGCAATGCATTTGCCTTTGCTATCCATGCATCACTGTTGGTAAGGAATTTGGTCATGGTGCCACAAAAAGCAAACAACACTTTGCAAGCCTGTTGGCACATTGGTTGTTTGGAAGGACATTCCTCCAGGCGTCCAAACCATTGTTCTGTTGTGGGAAGTTTTCAAGCAAGATGATGACCGTATGGACATCCGGCCGGTCGTCCGATGAGTCAAATCCTCAACGGCTATGCACAGTAAAATGCTAAAATGTGCCAGACATCCCCAGTTTGGTAAAATATTTTTTATATTCTTAATTTGATATAGGTTTGATGAAATCATTGGAGTAGAAAAAAAGGAAAATTTTCACTAAATTTGAATTTGGTGATAGATTTGGTGCAGCGTTGAAGATGACCGAAGAGCATCTCCAACGGTTTATTACTTTTTTCACCAAATCTGAGTAAAAAAATAGCTTATTTTCTCAATCTGATATGGCTTGCTCCAACGGTGCATCAAAAGGGAAGGGTCATCTAGTGGGTCGACCGCCCGGTCAGCCGATAAGGCAATAATTTTTTTTTTCAACCTGTTTGAACCTTTTTGACCCTGTTTGAACCTACCTATTTGAAAAGGAACCGGTTAACTGGTGGGTCAACCGGCCAAACATCCGGTTGGTTGACCGGTTGGCCCACCTCAACGTTATAGCATGGTGAAATACTGAAAATCGCGAGCTTGTTCTCAGTTTGATGAAAGTTTTGTTCTGTTCTCATTTTGATATTAATTTGGTGAAACTATTGGAAACACAAACAGTGGCTTTTTCATTCAATTTCAAA